TTATTATTATTATCATTATTATTCTCTCTCTCCCTCTCCATCTGCTTTCGCTCTCGTTTTCTCCCTCTTTCTCTCCCTTTCGTTTTGTCTCTCTCTTTCTCTCTCTCTTTCTCTCTCTTATTTTCTCTCTCTTACTCTCTCTCTCTCTCTCTCTCTCTAGGTCTGTCTCTATATTACTCTCATTAATATACGTATATTTCTTTCTTTGTACCTCCCTCTATAATATACACCCCCTCCTTTTCCCCATGGCACATTCCTTTCTCTCTCTTTCCTTTGTGGGACCGCTTTGGCAATGCTATATACTTTGATAAACCTCAAATCAAAACACATAAACGAGCTGTGCATCTGCAAACTGTCTGTATGTATAATGATCTTTCCCAACCCTCCAGAAAAAGCACTTCCTTCGGAAGGCACAAATGAAATTATCCAACTTTTTATATTGTGAGCAATGTATCATTGTATGGAAAAATCTCAGTTGTATGAACGAAGTTGTATTTTCTGTGCTCGTTTTCTTTTCTTTTCTTTTTTTTTTCTTATTTCCTTTTTTCTCTCTATCTCCAGCTCCGGAACGTATAAAGAGAGCTCCAGAGATATTGCAGTCAGATCCAGAAGAGCAACTGCCATTTCTGTCATTCTTCAAACGAGCTTCTCAAAAGAAAATTCATCGCTCACTGAAAATGAAGGGCGAAATTTCAAATAAAAAAGATTCACGTATACCACCGTCTGACTATGAGAATCGATACCGACGACAGGCAAATACATACTATGTGGATGTGGTTGCAGTTGTCGACTACGGAAATTACAAATTGTTTTTGAATAACGCCGATAACAGAGAGGAGGCTTTGAAGGACATTCGGGAATTTTACGCCTTTACAATGACGGATGTAAGTTTTTGCTGTTGTTGTTGTTGTTGTTGGTGGTGGTGGTATTTTTGGTGTTGATGTTGGTGGTGGTATTTTCTATCGGGTTTTATTGTAGTTTTATTGTCGTCGTTGCTGCGGTTGTTGTTGTTCGATGTGATGGTACTGAAGCTCCGATAGTTTGGGTTGAAACCCTCTGTGTATTTTGCGTCAGGTTTTCTTCTTGTTGTTGTTGTCGTTGATGTTGTTGTTTCTGTTGTTGTTGTTTTTTCTTTTACTATTGATGTTGTTGTTGTTGGTGATATTGTCATTGTTGCTGTTGTTTTCGGGGATGGGTTTGGGTAGATGTAGTGAATTCTGGGTTGTTTTTTTTATTAGTTTCTTCATTCATTCATTCATTCATTCTTTCATTCATTCATTCATTCATTCATTCATTCATTCATTCATTCATTCATTCATTTATTCATTTACTTGTGCATGCATGCATGCATGCATGCATGTATGTATGTATGTATGTATGTATGGATGGATGGATGGATGGATGGATGGATGGATGGATGGATGGATGGATGGATG